CCTTGTCTTGGCCGCGCCCCTGAACTCTGTGGCTGGTCTCTGTGGCCCGGCTTACTGGAGAGGAGTGTGTCCGAACAAATGAGGCAACCTCAAAATTATCATCAACCACTTTAGTAAGGGACGTTTCATCTCTGTGTTGCTTTCGTGATTTTCCTTGAAAAACGATAGGGGACTGACAAAAAACGATACCCCTGTGTTTACATACTTGCAAAATCCAAAACCATGGAAAACGATAGGGGACTGACAAAAGTGAAACGAAAACACTCCAAGCATATATTTTTGACGCTAACTCAATTAGCGATGCCAATGCCGACAAAAATTCATTGATGAAGCAGTTTGCTCTTGGGGTGAAAGTAGAGCGAACAAAGAAATCGACTTTTGAAGCTGTTTGGGGTCTATGCTTGTATAGTTTTTACACGGATTCTCAAGTAGACCACCAACAGGAAAATCGAGAAAACCTAAAACATTCAACACTTCATGCTGTGCTCCGATCTTGATCTACTCCGCGTTGATACAAGCTCCACGAAAGCTACAGGCATTCAACAAAAAGTGTTCCGCTATTTTTCCCTCCCAATTTTGCACTACCATATTGGTCTCTCGCTGGCTTTCGTCCTCTCCTTACTCAGGTATATTTATAAATATCTCTCTCTCTCTCTATGTGTATAAATAACTATTTAGTCCATTGCAGCTCTCATGCATGTTTTGCGACAAAGCGATTTGTACTTTAGCTTTGAAAGGTGAAACGAGTGGCTGACTTCATCATAGAGCAGCCAAGCAAAGCACCTGAAGGCCTGGCAACTGAACAACAAATGCAGGGCAGTGACGCTGATGCAGTGCTTTGGCTTTGACACGAGTTGCCTCGGGATGTCTACTTTGTACTGATCACATGTCCACGGAGCATGTGCTGTGCGAGCGTGTGCCTATGTGCGCGTGCGCTTGTCGGCGTGTGTGCGTGAGGGTCACATGATCAACGAAGCAAGGCCACCCCCTGTCCAACAACGAACCCCGGCTATGTATATAGCTCTAAATAACCCATGCTTTATAGCGATAGCTATGGGTTTCTTACTTCACTCTTCCAGCGCCAGAAGTGCCACTTAAGGTCACTTCTGTCGAACATCTCGAACACCAGCCAAAAGAAACACTCAAGAGATTCGGTTGGTATCCGCTTTAAGTCCAGATTGCATACTCTAATTCGAAATCACCATCAGCCACGGCAAACAAGCGGAAACACCATGGGATTGAGATGTAAACTCACAAGTTTAAACTCAATGCCGTTCGTGCCTGCCATAAGCACTTTTGCGCCTTTCGTGTGCCCTTCGTTTGTTTTGACACAGCTTTGCTTGTAGCGTGTCACTTGTACACAGTGTCCCTTTCGCGCATGTACAGGGACTTAAGAACTCTGATGAAGCAGTAATATTTACATGATACATGTATCTACTGGGTATCTTAGCGGTGAATATATCGACCAGCGCAATTTTGTGCACAGGGCATAGGGGTTAGGACAATTGCGTTTGTGTTGTGTCTCCTTTGTTTCTTTTTGCTCACTACTTAACCCCTGTCAGGTCTCACATTTTTTGTACATGACTGACGCCTTTGGCCCAAACTCAAGGAAAACTGACTGCTTGCTTCGCATGTGCATTCGCATCATCCCTTCCACATGTCTCTCTTTCTCTCTCTCTCTCTCTCCTCTCTTTCTCTCTCTCCTCTCTCTCTCTCTCTCTGATACCGTGTTCTTTCCAAGGGAGCTCCCCCCGCCCCACCTTCAACCCGATAGCGTATTGATGTGAGGCACCCCTCCTTCAACCCCTTAGGAAATATTAGGGTTTGCGCTGAACTTGCAGGTTGTGTGGACCAGCTCATGTCAACCCAGCGCCAGACTCACTTCAGCTCACTTGGTCTTTGTGCACCTCCCCCCTTTTTTCCCAGCAGGATACTTGTTGTAAGTTTGTTGGTTGCACATTCCCGGGGAGAATTGCAATGATGGACTTTCCACCGAGACGATTATCGCAGACATGAGATCTATATTGTTCAAGGGTGCCACCTTCCAGGCAACACATATGGGTCAAAGAACCCACCACTGGCACTTCACTGATTATTGTTGATTTGTTTGTTGATTTACGCGCATGTGTTTTGCGGGTGTTGTGCAGCAGGTATCCATGGTTCCTCAGCTTTGGCCTTTGGTGGCGGAACTCAGATGAAAGCTCAGGACTTTGAGGAGCTTCGACGAAAGCAAGGGGCTGGTCAATGGACACTAGCTTTCAACGTGCTCGGCGCGAGTGCAAAACCAATTGCTGCGAGGACCCTGCAGCGCTGTATGACGGTGCGACGGACTCCTGAAAGAGGTGCGTCCTTGGAGTTCTCGAAGATGGCAAGCTTGCAGTCCTTGATGTGTTTTCCTCACCAAGGAGCTTTCTTATTATTTTGCTCAACTTGCCCCTCTCTCTCTCTCTCCTTCACCTCTACTCCTCTCCTTTCCCCTTTTCTGCTTCAGAAAGGATGAGCCTTGTTCCCTCCACGGCTCTTCCTTCGTCTGGGTTTTTGACATCATCAATACTTTGTTTTCCATCCCATTATTCCTTATTTTTTTGTGCTCGAGTCCTCAGTCCAGCAGGAAAGAACATGAGACAAGACAAGAAAAGAACACCAGATGTGGAGACAAGATTACCGGGGAGCGACAATACATGCTTGGGTGAGCTTAGGGTTTTCTCACTTGTTTCACCACGTTTGCGGGCTAGTTGAGCAGTGCCAGCCCTCAAGCTTAGCCAACCTTTGTTTAGGTACAAAGCTTAAAGCGTTCGGTTAGCAGCATTGAATAAAATTCGCGAAGCTGCGCTTCCCGTTTTACCGAAGTGGCTTTCTGCTGCTTGCTCTGCCTTGATAACGCGTTGATATGCCTCTACCACCATTATAAAGAACAATTTCCATTGGGATTAGCAACGAGATTTGAGCACCGATGTCTATATCGCTTCCTATCAATATAGAGTCTTCCAGAAGAGGATGTAAAACACAACGGTATTATGACATCTCTACATGCCGTGACCTCCAGCCAAGTTGTCGAGCTTTCCTCTCCGGAAAGTCTTCGAGTTTATGTTCCCATGAATTTGTTTCTCAGTCAAATCTCTCGTGAACAAAGTCGTATTCAGAAACTATTGGCGTCGTATTCAGAAACTATGTTGGTCGTATTCTGTAGCATGAAAGGGTGGGGCAACAAACTTAGGTGGATACTTGCGTGGAAAGTTGTTGCCGCGTTGAGTTCTCTAGAAAGGGTCGCCTGGCCGGGCGTCAATGAATTTTTTGTAACCATGAATCGAGCGTGGCAAGCTGGCTGAAGGGCGTGGTTCGCTGGTCGATTTCGAGTTTGCGCAACCTACCTTTCCTTTTTCCGAACCCACCGTTTCCAATTTTTGAGCCCAACCTCTCGAGCTTCCCAACTCAACATTCCTCACCACTTTTCCGGTTTCCGAACACCATGTTTCCAGTTTCCACAGTATGAGTTTCCTAACACTTGTTTCCACGTTTCCAAATTCCGAACTCCACGTGTCTAGTTTCCGAACCCCAGTTTCCGAATTCCAGTTTCCCAATAACATAATCCTGTCGTTTCCGAATACCAGTTTCCGAATACAACTGCCAGTTTGCCAATACAATCGTCTCAGTTTCCGAATACAACCGTTTAGTGTCCGAATACAACCATGACCATTTGCTCGTTCTCCCAGTCAAAGTGTCTTTATATAAATCTGTTGTTTTGCTACCAGCTTGCCTTGCCTTGCACTCAACGGTTTACGATGTTGCTTCCTTCACGGCCAAGTCTAGAGCTTTTATGTTCATTTCTTGCGTATGCGGTGGATTTGACAGATTTGGACTAATTTTGTGACGCAGGTTGAACACTTGTTTCTTTCTGTCGAGATTCGCCCGTCTTTCTGATTGGGCAGGGCTGCCGCTGCGCCTATGGCATCATCGCGTGGTGGGCCGGTGCCGCACCTTTTGTTGCCTCAGTTGTTTCATGGATGGTCATGGCGCAACACAATTTTCATGTCGATTGTTCGAAGTCTTGGCTGACAGGCTCACAGGTTCCCAAGTCAACAAATTGCAATGTTGTCAAGCATGCTGCGCATCCTGGCAATGGTGGCGGTCCATGCTGGCTCCGAGCCACATGCTGGCTCCGAGCCAGACGAAGAATGCGTCTTGCAGACGCGTGGGGAAGTGCACGAGCATCTGGGTTGGACGCAATGGAAAGACGAAGGAACGTGCAGCATCAACACGGACCTTTTCCCCGGATACACCTATGCGACGTGGTCGTCAGCCAAATGTGAGGATTTTACCGACAAGGGCAATTGTGAGAAGGAATCTCGCAATCACGTCCAGCTCCAAAGTCCACACTTAGATATCAATATGGGCGACGACAAGCAGATGTGCAAGTGGCACGATGAAGAGAAGAAAAAGAAGACGGGGAAGAAGTTGAAGAAGGGGAAGAAGTCGGCGTTGGAACAGGGATCTGCTGACAAGGGTTCTTACGTGATGGGCGAGGATGCCGCCGCGATGGTGGAGGAGGTCTTGGACAAGCACTTCTCTGATGTGAAGATGACAGGTGGCCGCGTACCAGATGCTGTCAGGTATTATGAGAACACTTGGGCTGAGTGCATGGATGTGGATTGGACCGCGGAGGCTCATGAGTGTGACGTCAGTGATGTGGCAATGGGTCAAAACCGGGGGACCCTAGCTGACTGACCACGCAAAATGAACAGAAGAAACTACTAATAGACTAAGGAGGTCAGCCTACCAGGGTTTCGGGCTCGAACTCGCGGGCGAACGCAGTCTATAGATCCCTTGCTCATTTGCGGGTACGACAGACGAGAAGTGAAAACGTGTAAACGATAATCCGCATATGTACGACGTGTGATATGTACATTGCGGATTAGATCACAATGTGATGATAAGCCACAATTATGTTGTTGATATGAAGCGCTGCGTGTGCAAAACAATGAATTAGCATAGGACCACACGCGATGATCCCAAACAAGGGCAACGGCATTTAATTCAGTTCAAGGTGGCAAAGAAATTGTGGACGACGAACTTTATTTTGTAATTCGACCCTTGCACGAAGTGGTTGCTCGTCAAGGTCGGAGGTCGGTTGGCATGAAATGGTGGATTGCAATCGAGACCTTGGATATATTGATTTGTAATATCATAAAATGCCAATAATTTTGAATGCTAGACAAAGGAAAGCATGGTCGGCAAGCCACGCCCGAGTTATGTTTCGTTCCAAGGCCCAGAGCAGGCAAGCTTCGACAAGCATGTATAGGGTACTGTCTTGGTATTTAGTTTGTCATTGCAATGTCTGAAGAACTAACCGCGCGATTCAGGACGTCCCTTTCCCAGCATTCGGATTGGGAGGTGAATGCCTGTATTCAAGGTAAATGCAATGGCGAGCTCAATCCAACTGATACAATAATTGTAGCTTGAGCGAAGTGTGAGGTGCACCAAGGATCAAGCCGGGGAAAGGACTCATGAGGTTCCAAACCAAGTAGCCGCGCAGTCGAGACGCGCAGCCTTTTCCAAGCAGCCTATGGCTCGGTAAAGCTCCCGCCCTAATGATGGTTGTGTCAAGTAAAAGGGGCGGTTCGAACAAAGACCGCGGTGGTCGAAACTCATCCAACCTATACATGCCGATGTGGCCAAGTTGGAGCTTTCAAAATTGCACGGGAGGAAGATGCTAGCGTCAGTTCAGCCAGCATGAAAAGCTTCGTAGCTAGTGACTCCATGGTTCTGTTCAAACGTGGGCAGGTCATCCAAAAGTGAGGTTCCTGTGATTCCGTTGACTTCTTCAAACGGAGGGGGAGTGACCGCGCACCAAACACATGGCCTCTGCAAGTGCCATACTGTGCTCCTTGAGACAAAAACACACCTGCGCGTTGAGCAAGTGGGCATTCAGCCAAGTGGTGTTCAATCTCTCGGCAGATTTAGCGCCAGGAATGGATTGGCCCAAAAAAACTCCGACTGCCGCTTCTGTTTGCTTTGTTTTCATTCCCGCAACAAACGTTTCCTTGCAGAGTTAACTTGTTTGACCCTCCCCCGCCCCCGTATTTTGCAACATCCGTCTGCTAAGGTCCCCTTGCTGCGCAGGATGACAGGGCGTCCCCACCTGCGCAAGGCCTCCTTCATCATGCTGTCAGGTGTCTTCATTCTGGTCTTGCAGTCAATGATTTTTAGTGCTTGATGGTTGCTTCCGATGAGGCCATGATGCCGCAGATGCGCGGAGTAGACCCCCGGTGGCGCCAGGCCTATGCCTTTCAAACTCCCATGTAAACGTTTTGATTTTTTTGAGCCAACGCATTCTTATCTTCAAAATTTGTACAGAAAGGTTACAAGCAAGAGAGCGAAACCGTCTTCTCCGTGCTCCTTTCCAGGTTCCAAGAAGCGGCTGGTCTGGGTCGGAAACTTGCCTCCAGACATCCATTTGATGCGCCTGCGGCGCGACTTTGAAAGCGTGGGAGACTTGGATGCTGCGACAGCACCTCGGATGCATGACTTCTTTTGCGCGCAACCTTCGCAATCCCAATTCAATTTTTTCGGAATCCAACATCACAAGCTCTTACCTACTTGTCTCCATGACTCTACCTCTCACTGCCTGAGCTTGCCGTCTCCCGGCCAGGTCTTTCCAAAGAATGAGCGGAGCATCAGAGGCTGTCTCGCGCCGGACCATCCGGGTAGAGTTTGCGAAACGCCGTGCTCGGTTCACGAGGGCAGGTGCTGCCTGCTGCTCTTCAAGTTGTTGTTCAGCTTGTTGAAGGTCGACCTTTGCGATCGACGTGAACTCTTACCACTCACGTTTCTCCTTTCGGTGGGCCATCTGGAGGTCGATGATCTCCTGTAGCCTCTTAGCCAGCTCATCATTTTCAGCTGAGCATTTTGTCTTGCCACCTTTGTGCTTCTTTTTGATGTTCGGCAACTTTCCCGTGGAATGCAAGCCTTTGTAGCTTGTTGGTGTAGGCGACGTACACATAGCTGAGAAACATGCCAAAGAGCATGGCCACAATGACCACGGCTACAGGCATACCAACGCCAACCATCGTGCCTGGGTGCTCTTCATGGACAGTCTTGATGTCGTCATTGTAGACCTTCATCTCTCGTTCTCCGAGAACTGCTTTGTTCAAGGAGAACAACGTCATAGCAAAGAGAGCACGCTGCGCATAGGATGTGGATGTAGCCATCCGAGTGGTCGGCTGTGAATGCTCGCTCCTCTTTACTCCTTTCTTCATCTTCGTCTGTAGGTGGTGTGGAGGTAGTTGGAGGTGAATTCGTGGTTGTGAGAGGTGTTGTGGGAGAGCCCGTCAGCGAATTGTCTTTCGCTGGAGTTCAACGGCTTCTCCTACAGCTAGCAGGTTGGGTGGGACATGGCTGCTATCCATCTCTGCCCTCAGACGATGGTCTGGCTGGTCGGCCGACGTGAGCACTGCGTTTCTCCAGGGCTTGCCCTAGCAGCAACAGCTATGGTTGCGGTTGGCCCCCACTGGACATCTTCGGCTGTGGTCCAGAAACGCGAATGCCTGCTAAAACCTGTGTACGGGCAATTGGATGCGCCGCGACGCTGGTTCTTAGAAGCATGTCAAAGACGCAAGAAACTCCAGTGGGCACAAAACCAGTTGGATCCTTGTGCGTTTACACTATCTCATCCCCATTGAGAAAGACAGCTCATCTACCACGTCGTTAACGGGAAATCCTACAAGTTGCACAGAGCTGCCAGGCAGCAGGACAGGCGTCAGACGCCACACAATACTCCTGCAGATTGTTTTTGAAGCCGCAGCGAACCCTCAGAGAACTCCTACATGGCGAGACAGAGCTCAAACCGGCGCTGATCACGGACGCTAAGGCCTTGTATGACAGCTACCGCAAAGAAGGTTGCTCTACCTCCACTTCCATTGATCATCGCGCATCGCTGGAAAGCAGGGTGATGAAAGAACGGGTGAGGTCACTAGATGGTGAACTGTTTCCCTTCAGGTGTAGTGGAGAACTCCCTGGCCCCATTCTCAAAGAACGATCTGAGCTCCTTGCACTTTGCCTCATAGAAGGCTTTCTTCTCCTCGATGTTCATGCCCTTCTCGGACAGGGAGTCTTGTCCTTTCTGCCGTTTGACTGTCTTTGGAGCTGCGCCTTTTCACGCTGAGCCAATCATTTTTCTTTGCAGCTTGAGGCCTCATGCAACCATCGGTGCTAACCATACCAAGCTCCTTCCGGGTCTCCGCATTGACCTGGAAGATTGTCATACCGTGCCATTGTCGTGGCAATTGTCGATGATCTTGAAGCTGTCGGGGATGGGGCTCAGGTTGCCGTGTGCATCTTGGCAAATTGCGACTCGGATCGGGTCCAAACGATCGATGGGCGCCGGGATGTCCTTGTAGTCCATTGGATTGCAACGATGCCGTCGGCTGTGAATATGGTGTCTGACCAAGCAGCCTGACTTCAGACCCCAGTAGTCATGAGGAGTGGCTTCAAGATTGAAAGACTTGGTTCTTTGGTCAAAGCGGGCTTCTTCTATGTCTTCAACTGCAAAGGCGTAGGATGTCAAGCCCTCTTTGTCAATGGGAGGCTTCCCATAGGGACCTGCGTTGGTGTGGGGCCCAAAGCACATAGTTTCCTGTCTGTTCAATCGTTGTCGTCGTTGTTCAGGAGTTTCTTGCGGCGGTGCTTCATAGTGTGATGCCGTGACAGGATCCAGAGGGGGTGCTGACTGCTGTGGTGTGTTCACCGCAGCTGGAGTGTGGGCGGGCTCGTGAACTGGTTCGGCGGCAGGGCCTCGTTCGACGGTTGACCTGGGGAGGTCGTTGGGCCCAATACCTCCTCGGAGATTGGGGTCCCCGCCGGAGGCTGAGGTGCTGGATGAAGTTCAGGTTCTTCAGGGCATGTCGTAGTCGTCGTTGCTATAATATACCGCTGTTCCAGTGCCCACTTGTCGGCGTTTTGCCATTTCCTCATGGAGTTACATCTTGTTGCTCGTCGCTGTCGATGTCATCGATGTTCCTCTTGTTGATGCGGCTCAAGACCAGGTAGCGTGTCCCGCCTCTGCTCTTGAGGTTGCGGAGAACATCGGAGGCTCGTTGGAGTCCGTCCAGGTCCGTGGTGTCGGTGTTCTTGTTGATCTCTGGACGGACAGCGCGCCTGATGAGTTGAGTTGCGCGCAATCCAGGATACGGATGGTTGTCCTTGTTCACTCAGCCCCCTCAGCGCTGGGCCCAGCGTCACGCCCGCCAGTAATTAGTGACACACTGCCAACGAGCGGTTCTGTCCAGCATAGCGTCGAAAGGAGTGCTCATCTTCCTGTCTGTGTCGGCCTCCACGAGTGCAGGTTCGCGCTGCGTTGCGCTTGTGGAGGGTCTCTTCGAATGAAGCGCCGCCTGCCAAGCGCTGAGGGGTGATCTCCTCGGACAGCATGAGGCCTGGTACTTGTGGTTGAAAGCCAAGCGCCCATTGCATTGGGCTATAGCCGGAGACTGTGGTCTGAGCATTGAGCTGGGGCATGATGTAGACGAGGGCCTGTCGAATGCCATCAGCGCCGGAGACACTTTGGTCTTCCAGACTTGCGAAGGACCTGTTGCTTTCCTTCCACCAGGCCAATGCGTGGGCGCGCTTCGCCTGGCGAGATGCGATGCATGGTCAACGTTGAGGTT